ACAAAGTGTGTTTCTTCTTAACGAGGGAACTTGCCTTTTCCTGCTGGTATATCTGAAAAAACCATTTTCAGGCTAATGATAAATTATAATTACATTTCTCTTTACCAATTTCAATATCTGTTCAACAACGAAATATTGATAGTTGAAGACCACTGTTCTGTCACTATATGTTCTAAGCAGGCCTCTTCGAAAAAAAAAAATGGCACTTCACAAGACAAGCAACTCTGAACCCTATACCTCTAACACCCATGCGTAATGTACTATAGCTGTTCATATGAAAGTTATATAGCATGTAGAAAGCAGATAATATCCCTCACGTATAATCACAGAGGATAAATCCTGGGCGTGATTTTACCGAGGCTGTAGTCCTCCATGCACGCTATTACAAATTTTAAGCGAAAACTTCAAGCACATCGTTGATCAATACAGAATAAACTTTTCGCAGTCACTAGCGAAAAGTAGTGGCCATAAAGTGTCTGCTTTACTTACCATCTTTTACTCCAATCGGCGGACTCACGCTGCTTTTTTTTTCATGGAATGATGAATTTGATTTGTACTAGCACAAATTAATGTTCTGAACCCCTATGTCCCGTGCTAAGTATCGTTTCTGACAATTTATTTATACCAGATATTACTAATCTTTGATTATAAGCTGTCGTATACACCTCTAGGAAATTCAAATTCTCGAACAAACTCAAGGTTTGGATTAGCTTAGGAAGCAGACTGCCCAGTTATGTTTACCCAATTTTCAGTGTACCTAGTGTTTTTAGGTATTTTATATTATGTAAATGAAAATGTTTATAGGTGGTTCATAGTTTTGCTACATTTTATAAGTTTTCGCAGATCTTGGACAAAGTTCACACTGCAGGTGAGTCATGTCCAAGATTTTAAGGAAGGTTATTTAAAAAAACAGATAGCTCTTCTGAATTAGTTACGGATGATGGCTGACACAGACAAATATACAATGAAATTTCATGAGATCAGCCTTCATTCGAGTGCATTTTACCCTTTTTAAATTGACATTTATAGAGCTCTGTTCTGTTAAGCCGCGCTTGTGGGGAACACCGCAATGGTTCTACCTATGGCTCAAAAAGTCTGATAGAGATATTTACAATACACTTAATCTAGGAGAGAAAATATGAACCATTGAAGGTGAAAATGTGTTTTTTATTAACAAAAAGAACAAACTTAAAATAGTAAACATTTAGGAAACCATTCTACCCTGTTTTGTTTCAACAAGGGAAGGGTCAGCAAATGAGCCCGCAGCGCGAAGTCTACGGTTCAGATTCATGAATTTAATATTCATTCTAAAGAGATGATATTTATCAAACGTAAGGTCACAAATTTAGATGGCGCGAACAAGCAGTATTTTCGCATAACAGACAAACCAAATCAGGTTAGTATTGATTTTTTGTTCCGTCAAGGATGGCGTCCAAATTTTCACAGGTAGAATCAGTTGAAGATTTTCAACAGTATCAGGCTACAGACATATGCTACGAAATTATCCAGGTGATTATAATTTGTATTAACAGCTGTCCCGAGAAAGTCGGAACGTATTCTTTGAGTCATCTGACGTGTGTCATCAAGTGACGTGCCATTGTCAGAAAAAGTAGTTGGTCATCATGGAAAAAGTAGTTGGAAAGAATCTATCCAGCCTAGGGAAGGTAAGGCTAGGTTTGAACAAAAAAAGTACCTGCAATGCAAATAGTAACATACCAGTGCGCACATAGGTGCGCGCAGGCGATTATTTGATGAAGACTGCTAATGGAATCTGTCCAGAGGAGTGCTTTTCACAGTGACAGGCGCTGCCACATTTACCACAATCATAATATCGTATGTTGAGTACTAATTCAGGTGGCAGATTTAGGTTATATTTTAGTATAGTTGCTATAGGACATCTAGGGATTTCGTAAATTTCCATCGCACGCGTGCCTTCTGTGATGAGTGTAGAGGACTTCCTTTCGGTCAACCTGAAGTACGCCGGCGATTTTGAAGGCCGTAACTCTATAAAATCCTACTTGATTATTGCCTTATTTCATTTATGGCAAGACTGTGCTAAATCATCTGTACTCATTTTGAGGAAATACGTTCCTTGATGAAACAATGATACCTAGGCCTACGACCACGCAAAATACTTAGATCGGATGTTATTATTCATTGGTCGTTTTTAATAGCGCCTCAAAAAGTAGATCATAAAAATCATCAAAAGAAGCGCCGATTCGTATATGCATATTTAGTCTTTTCTAACGGAAACATGAACGTCGTGACGATGGACAACCACAATAGAATTGATCACATCATTTTTTTTTATTCTACTATTTAGTTTTTACTTATTTTACCGCCGGTAGAGAACTGCTTTCAAATGAAAGAGTCCAGCTGTACAATGGTTCTTATAACCATTAATTATCACTACTATTTCTGTGAGCGAGACTCCCTTTTCCTAGCTCCTGCTCCTGCTCCTGGAGTTCCATCTATGTTCACATCTTAATGTGTACTACAGCTGATAAATATCGTAGAAGTGTAACGCATTCTGGATACCTAATCGTTTATAATTTGAACTGAAATAATAATAACCTCTATTATCGAGCTATTAAGTTGCCAGACGTCAACTCTTCAATTACTCTTCAGTAGCGTATGACTTTTCAGTCTGATACCTATATTAGTATACTTACTATACTATTTTAATGGTAAATAAATTTTCAGCGGAACCAACATTAAATGGATAATCAAATATTTTGTATATGTATGCTTTAGACACACCAAATGTCAAATTTATCTGCAGCGTATACGCTATAACAGCGTCTCGCCGAATAAGTTTGCTATTTCAGGCTAACTGTGATCGTATGTTTTATTTAAATAAACAGAGAAGTCCACTTTAATTGTATCTAGCTTTCGAATTCTAGTCTTACTTTACTAAATCAATTTAAGCCACCTCTTTCACTTTTTTCAAACATCTAGTAAAATATATTTACCTTTTATTTTTAGACACTGGAACGTTTATAAGCCTTGTTTGTTATTCCAATCTCCGCACGCTTTTAGGTTCTGTATTTCTACAAATATGGCATGGATTACTCGCGCTAGGTTAGAAGCCGGAACATGATTTACTATATACCACGATGTAGTGTTTTCCCTAGTGGAGCTTTTAAACGGCCACCCAAACCGTCTAAGCGAACGGCAAACCCAAACTACTTTTTTCGACATAAAAGATGCGCTTTGCAGAGGTCGACTGTGAAAAAGAAAAAAATCATCCTTATACTTTTTAAAATATGTGTGAAAAAAAAATAAATAAAAAATTAAATATACTGCTAACAGATCCGTTTTTTTACAAACGAGTTTTAGAAACGCAGCCAACGCTGTATCAACAAACCGTCGCCACAGAGTAGCAAGGTCTGTTTTGTCGCAACATAAGACGAAACCTGTGGGTCCGGGATACTGGGGAAGGCCACCCTGTCCAGGGACGCCTTTGGGCTGGTCATTTACAGTTGGCGCCAGCTACAGAAAGTCACGGGTGTAGCCGGCTACCAACCAAGGAGAGAAACTAATTTTCCTGAATCTAGAATTCGGCGCCATATGTCTCGATCGTGTTTCTTCTACTGTTTCCTTTCTCGCTCACTCTTTTCGAATACATATAGGTTTGAGGGGAATTTCCTTTCAACCTAGCTCCAGCAGCTTGTTGACCATAGCAGAAGCCAGTTAGTTTTCCCCACTCTCTGCTCCGGTGCCGCGTAGGTTTCAGTGGCCTTGAATTCGAATTCTAGTTCACCTCATATATAGTCGTCGTTCTGTGATTTCATTCGCCCGCCTGTTCCAAACCTTTGCCAAGTCTAGAAGGAAACAAAAAAAGTTTTGGGCCCGCTTTAAACAACACGTTTACTTCAAAGATTTATAAAAGCGAACGGTCGTGTAGCGTAAAGTTCAAAATGAAAATCACACGGTGCGCGTACCCAGTATTCTCCCGAGAGCTTTTTAGAGACAATCTATATTTTTTTATATATATATTTTTCTATATGGTAATATAGTAGAAAAATATATATTTTTTTCTACTATATTACCAAATTATTGAGCAGTATTAATTCAACCGTGATACAGGTATAACTACTATTGTGACATTTCACGCCTTGTGTAGGTTGTATGTAGGTATTGAGACAATTACTATATTCTAATTGTATTGGAAGTAATTGAGCATTTTTGCAGAAATATGCTTTACAGATTATTCGCACACGTTCCAATATCTTCGGAAAAGCGAAATTGAAATCAACGCAGCACTCAGTTAAATACGTGTCGAAATTTACATTTTTCAAAATAACAGTGGTAGGCTGATTGGCCTCTTAACTATGGTAAGAAGGACCCCCCCTTAATGCAAAAATTTGCGATTTGGGTTACCCTGCATTCCGCGACTTACAGAGGACTTCCAGTATGCTGCTAGTCATTCACGCAATAAATAGTAGTCTGATACAGTTAGAAACCAACATACGTGTTAGTAGAAAGAAGGTAGCGTAGCCAACACTTTTGTATTATCGTGATTCGTACCCACAATGTAATCCGTAGTGCTTGTCTCTCTTTTGATATTTCCATTATTTCTGTCTTTCTTTTTCTGTTTTTTGCCGACTAGGTCAGGATCGTTGCTGTGTGAAAGCTTCCTCCTGTTCACCTTCGGTGAGGGAGAGGGACAGAACTACCAGCGGAGTGAAAGGATTCCCCGTTCGAGGGTGAGGGGACTCTTCCGAGGGCGTCTAACAGCAAGTGGGTCGAACTAGCAACCAACCTACCCTTGACCCAAGGAATTGGCGAGGGAGTGAAGTCAGCCCTCTGGGTCCTATGAGTTGCCTGGATGCGTGGTAGGTGCCTGTGTGGGAATGCACTGCTCGTCGGCATTGGCAGTGTCCTCCCTGGGTTTGCTCCTAGCTTTGTATCGGCTCGACCCTTCCTCCTCCCTCCCCACCCACCCGGCGAGGCGCTTAAGGGACAAACGCTCGAAAGATCCGAGCGCCTGCTGATGCTACTGCCGCTGGTTCTGTAGCCGCCGCCTGCTGCTGCTGCTGCTGCTGCCTGTTCATGAATGCTATGGCGGTTCGCTGAACGCGAAACGCGTGAGCTGGTCCCGTAAGAAAGACCTCTAGTGCTCCCTTCCTGTACGATTCGTTTCTTCTACTAATGATTCGCCAACAAATACACCAAAGGATGCCGAGAGCGCGAAAAAATAAGGCACAGTAAACGATTGTCGTAGTAGACGATACTAGAAAAACTAGTTCTGCCTGCTTTTCGTTCAGAAGTAACCTTTCTGTGTGGAAACCTGCGTGATTATTTATTGAGTGGTGGGCCCATGAACTGTGAATCTGTGAGGTGCTACTGCAGACGTTCTGTGCAAGCCCCGACGCGTATGTACGACGTGAGAGATATGGAAAACATTTCGCTGCTTTTTGCAAGATGCGTGGTGGCCATCGGGATATTGGTTTTAGCACCGGCTGCTGCGTCAGCCGGTGGAACACAAGGTGAGTAGTGATTCGATTTGTACCGACTAGAGAAGCGTAAAGTTTTAATTGATGCCTGTGGATACGCAAGCATGCTCGCCGTTCATCTCTAACATACAAAAGTTGAATGCATGTCGATGTACGCAAAAATGTGGAAAAAATCATACTATAAAAAAGCGATGCTCGACGTACGATACCGGCTCTGTTGTTCTGGCCGGAGTGACGTCATACGGAGTTTCCTGAAAACCTGTTGCCGGAAACAACTGGAGGACCGGGTCTGTACGGCTTGATGGCCTGTGCCAGAAGAGCTCGAAATCGCCCGATTCTTCAAGCGGCAGGCAGTGTGAATTCTAAACGTATCATAAAGAAAGGGAAACGCACGCGCATAGCGGGTACTGTTTATCATTGCGTCGTCTTAAGGGAAATCTGTCTTAAGGCATACAAATACTGCTCGTCAATGGAGGATACTGCGAAGTTAAAGAAGGCCTACGCGAAGTATCTCGGAAAAAAGGAGAACGGTTTTTTAGAAGAGATCATTTGACTACATTCGTTTGCATACCGCATGCTGGTGCGTAGGAATATTTTATCAATGTTATATAACATATACTTTAAATGATGTTTTTTTATTTATATCGACTTTGCGGTGGACCAGAAATAGTTGCGCGCAGTTGCTCTAATTCACGTACTAGACCCTCATAGATGTAAACATGGACAATCCGTCTAGTCCCAAGGCCAGCGTAGCTGGTGACAGTGTTTTTTCTTAGCTAATATGATGTCTGCAAGAACGCACACGCAGGATCTGTGGTCTCTTACTGTGCTACCGTCTGAAAGCTATATAACTAGTTGTCATATAAGCGGTCTAGAAGATAACGGTTGACGATAGCTGTGGCGTTGACGTAATCGATAACGACGTAGAATGCACCCTGTCTGGCTGTCGGAGTGGGTCGCATAATGATTGGTGGAACGATGCGTGCACTTTTAAGAGTTCTAATTTAAGATTTGGTTAGTCCCAACTTCTTCTAACAAATTTCAACAATTATAGACAATTCTCCAAATTCCATTCTCATATGCTTAACGGTTTCTACCGTTGGTTCACGTATCTACCTGTATGGCTGACTTTTTTTGACATATCAAAGACGGTACATTGGCTGAAGTAGTAAAAGTTACTTTCAATGAGAAGGATGGCTTTTTCAGTTTCGTTCGACCTGCTTATAACAGAATAGTGCGTCTGTGTAAAAGGAAGGACGCATGCGGAGTGCAGAAAAATCAACACCTTTCCACATGTAGTCGATAGCCGCTTAGGTGGTGATTGAGCTTTTGTTCCTGCGATCGACTCGTTATGATCATCTATGAGGACAAACGGAGACGACGTTCGTATAAATAACACAATGAACGGGGAAGTCTAGAAGACGGCGACGCCACGACAGGTTTTCCTAGTTTTGAGTTTTTGCGGTTGCTGTTTTTGGCTCGGATAGTTTTTAATCGGTTTTCTTTGAGCTTTTAATTTGGCGTTTTCTGTTCAGGCACTATTTCGATGGTCGTACGTACCCATACCCACGTGGCACTACTAGCCACATCCTTTACTTGCGATAAGCTATTTCAGGAATCGACTATAAGAGCTAATGGTTAAACTTGACTTGATCCAGCTGGCCAATTTGTTGGTAGAATTTAACCCAGATTCTTATATTAACAATCAATATTTCATTTTGAAAACTCTATAGGTAAGAATGATACTCCTGTGACGTTGCTAGTGACTCTTTATCATACCCGGAGTCCCTTATCGGCTTAACTAAAAAATAAGATTTTTTGGACAATTCGGACGATTTCTAACTAATAAGTAATATAAATAAGCCTTCAGTAAACAATGTAGCGAGGTAGTATATAGATGATAGTCTTCACATCAACGGACGTACGAATCCTCGTCACGCGTTTGTGTCTTTAGAAGGTGCCGACTTCACTAATTACATAATCGTCTCTATTGTCCAAGTTGTACTACATCCTTTCTGCAGCATGATATGTATCAAAGCAATATTTTCATACATAACTATATTTTGCTTCGCCATTAAGATATGTAAAATGCTGGACACCTTAAATGTTGAAACGAGAAAAACTCATGTAGGACTGTACCAAGCATGGATATAGTTCGTTATTCCATAGCCAGAGCAGAGAAATATCTAAAATTCGCGCTTTGATAGAGCTCGCCAATGGAGTCGCACTATTCTCGTAGAGTTTCCTTACGAGGACAAGGTGCAATGTCCGTGCTAAACGGTATAGCTCTATTTATGTGAACAAAGCTAAGATTCGCCTTAGGTAAGAGATATTTTTTCCCTAGAGTTAGGCTCCTGCAGGAAATATCATCTTCACCACCTATCATACTCATACGATTTGTTGCTCCATATATTTCTGCCAGCTCTCCTTTTTATAGAAAATTGTTATCTAGGGCTATATTTAGGGCCAATCTGTTTCAGTGATGCTAAGGCAAGCAACACAAAACGCTTCACAAAACCGTAAACAAATGTTCACGGTTATTCGTGTTTATGATTCTTACATTTGCGGCTGCTTTTAGTACGGTGGTCATCGCACGAAGAGGTTGCTAGTATTCGATTTAAATTATTTAAATTCAATTTCGCGTTATGATAATATTGAAACTCTGTCAGATAAAAAAAGGTTAATAAGCTCCTTGTACAGGGGTAGAGGATAGCCGGGATGTGCTAGGTAATGGTGCCTTATGTACTATTATACGTTCCGACGGACGCGATTCAAAATCAGCCTTTGGTCGCGAGCTACTTTCTAAGTTAACTTGAGAAGTTAGTTGACACAGTAATTGTTCAGCGATCCGCATACGATAGAACGGTCGATTACACAACTCGTTCCTATGGTTTGCCTTCATCAGTTCACGTAACACGAATTACGAAAAACACGTGCGTACAAAACGAAACGTAGACACGGTGTCGATTTTGCAACGGAGAAACGTGTGATTTCGAAGCGTTTCGTATTTATATTGTTATAGAAAATGATTCTGTGCGACTTCTGCGCACACGTTTAGTTATGGCCGAAAATACTGCGGTTCGAGTAGAACGATCGAATCCTCTGATCATAACATTGATTAAACGATAATGATCGTAGGCAACATGCGTTCATCTGGCAGAGATTAACAGAAAGTATAGTTGTTTCAAACGTAGTTATCCGACAAAAGTCTCACCAAAAAGACAGGGCCAAATTAAGCTATTCTGTGCAAAGATGACAGTCCGCACCGATACGGCCAAACTGCAGACAGCTACAGCGTTGTCTCCGAGTCTTGCAAGAGTTACATTTACTTTTCTAATGGCGCGCAGTTATTCCGCCGATACGCAAATGATCTTCTAATGTGGAGGTGTGGGTAAGAAAGGCCTACTAAAGACAAATGATTAACATTTAGCATCTGATACAGTCAAACTGGATTAGTTTAAAGAGTCCTTTGGGTTTGTGTTCTTATTTCTCAAAGGCCTGCAATTACAATTGAGCCTCTAGACTACTTGAGCTGGCTAGATGTGGCATCAGAACAAATCAGGTAACCACTCTCAAAACAAATGCAGCTTCATTCTCAATAGCATTTTAATAGTAGTTTTAAAAAAAAAAAGGTGTCTGGCACTCTATAGGAAGCGTTACACCTTATATTTGATTATTTGTATCGTGGTGGGTAAATTTTAGAGTATATGAGACCAACTGTTTGACTTGCGCTTGCTTTCCGAGATCAGCAGTATAATTTTTGAGTAAGTTTTAGTCACTTATATAACTTGGTCATTTGAAAGTTTAGAGCAGTAAACAAGCGCGTGAGTTCGTCGATATGGGTCAAGGATGAGCTGTCAATAAAATTCATCTCGATTTTAGTTGCTTCTGTTTGAGTAAAAGGAAACATTACGAACGTTAAGAGGCTATATAGAAATTTGCGATAAAAGTGAATCGTTGTCTGGCGAAGCGTCTGTCCATACGGGTCTCCAGAGCCCAGTTTAGTTTGACCACTACGGCTTAATAATAAGAGCAAGTTGAACTAAAACCCGTACAAACATCTTAAAATTTATGCAGAAGCACACCTGCAAAGTTCAGAAATTTCTCTATTTCGAAACTTATCGTAATGGAGAGTGTACTAAGCAGGTTAAGTCTGGTCTATCGTGAAACATGGACAGCAATTGAAACAGTAGATCAACGAGCTAGCCCGTTGCCACATTCAGATCGTTGTCCGCTACAGCATACCCCAGCCGTCTTATTCGGATACAGCGTTGGAAACCAATAAAAAGTGCCGTGTCAACCTAAAACTCAGGCATAATTGTCGTGGTTCAGACATATAATAATTAATCAGGTCAGCCAAACTAAACGACCCACTGATTTAGTCCTCGTAGTAACGGCCGACCTCGAGGAAAAACGATTGTCGTCATATGGCAAAGTGACGCGACCAGTTAGACGATAATATCAACGGTAAGGTTTTTTGCGAACTTTTTTTTACTGCAATTGCGTACCTAACTCTGAAAAAACATGTTTACCATCAATTTTCATCATCGTCTCTTTTATTTTTTTAATTTTGAGGACCATTTTCGGAATCGTTTCGTAGGATTGTTTTGTGCACCCTGTTACTGATAGCTAGCGTGTGGTGAATGTGCCTGTCTTTCGCCTCTAAATATGCTTACATATATGCAAATAGGCGACAATTAACTTAAAACAGTTTTGCAATATCCACAATACTTAGCTCAGTTATGCATCCTCCGAGGTCACATCTGAGCAGAATACAGCCCGTGTCGTTAGTATTATATGATTATAAATAAGAAGCAGAAACTCCGAGGTTGAGGATTTATCGCGAATCAGGCAGCTGGCAGTTCTGGCTAGCTTATGTATGTTATTAAAAGATTGATGAAGTGACAATGTGTCTGCTAATGTTGTCGAGCTATATGAGATCAATGAATGGCCAGTTTGAACGAGAATGTCGAATTTTCACCTGAAATCCTAGGTGGCAAAAAGGACAAACTCGTAATCAATCTGAGTACAGGGCGATAGCTTTTAATCAAAGCGAGAAAAAAGCGGGCTATATTAATGTGTTAATTAGTTGTAAATACTTTTGATAGTTTGTTTCTCAGGCTGAAAGCTAGCCTCTACTAGTATGATAGCATTAGTTCAAGGCTTAAAAATATCCAAGTACAACACGTAATGTAAACGGTGACCTCGTTTTGCCGCTAACGTAATTCCTTAGCGCTTAGTCACCATCTTGCAATAGCCAAAAGGCGTATAACCATTATGCAATCGTACTGCAAATCTTGATTTACAGATAGTCCCGAACTTCACAAAATTTATATCGATGCCACTCTACGTATGGGAGAAAAGGTCGATATAATGTGTTCCCTTAAAAGGGGCTCGCAGCCGGTCAGTTTTACGTGGTAAGTATCTGTTGCTTTGAAAATTTGTCCTAAAATTGACCTGTTTCATACAAGAGTACCTACGAGCACCGAACGATTTAAGATCCATTACGGCATACACTGATGATAATAATAGCAGCTACCGTGCTACGAGTACGCCACAGATTACGGCCGTACAGTTGCAAATTACCGAATACGTTTTAGCATTCGTAAGCAAAACCTGGAAGAAAATGTACTTTCTGTGCTAAGGAAAATCTGGTTTATTTGGTTTACCGTATATGGGCAATGCATTAGATCGAATACGACCAAACATTGAAGATCTCTGCGAGCAATTTCTTTATTTGGAATATTACTGACCAAACAGAATAATAAGCATGAGCGACCTTATTTAACTACAAACGTTTATTTTCTGGAATTGAAGCTTCCAAGGATGACTCCAAATAAGATTCTAGTTCTTATACCTTTAGACATTTTTATCAAACACAATTCCTAAGAGAAAAAAAACACATAAAGCAAGAGCAATTATTGTTGTAGCTCTCTTTCGCACCTACGAATAGCCGAACGAAAATAACAAGTAACAGATCTTGGCAAATTTATATTTGTTCACTTTTCAAAAACTCTCATTTGTTCGGTAGCAGCGAAGAGTTTCTCAAGAAGCTCCTCAACGTTTCGATTTGAAACCCGTTTACCTCTTACGTCATCCTACATAGCGACGTAACGCCTCAACATACTTATAATACTAGACGTATCGCTAATGCATTTCCCTACCGAAGAGTCGAACGCAGACTGTGGCGGCTTCACGGTTCCAGGCGCAGATCTCTCAAAAAGTATCATCCTACATTGCTCAGGTGTACGCCGTCACCCACAAAAAACTTACGGACATTTGCCCGGTGATATGTTCTATTTGAACTGTGCACCTAACTTTAGAAGGAACACGCAGCAGCTATTCGCCGTATTTCTGTTGGGGTTAGAAAGTGTATCGTACGTGAGTACGTGAAAGAAAAAACTGACTGCGGGCTCTACGACAGTCGACTGTGTGATGATTAACCCAACAATGAAATAATGGTCGGCAATTTACTTGCGTTGTTTTGCTATTTAATACAAGATGCGGTTTTCCTACTAAACTGCAACCGAAAAAAAAGCAGTGTATTATAATACGTTCAATGTGCAGACCGATGCACTAAGGTCAACATACTGTACGTTACGGGATACTGTCTTATAGCGGTTAACTAGTGAAGGAGACTGGTGTTTCACATCGAGGAGGGCTCAATTCCATGTTTCTAAAAAGGACACCGTAGGATTACTAAAACGTAAATGAACTCAAGTAAAAGTTATTTAAGGCATCTGAATGGGTAAACTGAGCTGGACATGACCACTAGACAATCTCGTTTGTTCTCTTCGTTGATTTTCAATATTGCTATAGGTATAAAGATAATCGTCCAATCCGCGCTGGCCAAGATGGCTACCAGTTAGATGAGTTAAGTAGCAAAAGTATATTGACGATTGAACGCATCGAGAGACGGCACATAGGCAATTATACATGCGGCGTAAACAATGCCCTCGGGACAGACTCGTATACCGTTCCTGTTGTCGTAGAAGGTACGTAATTTAAATTACATGATCTATGTATAATGTGATTAAGCTTTAATATATTATTAAAGCACTTGCTTTCAACTCGTCTTACCAACTTTGTTTAACACTTGTCGTCTCATCATTGTTATTATTATCGTTGTGGCTCTACGAATCAAATACTTTACTTTTTTTTATATGTACATTCTAATAATTCATCTTATTTCTCAATTAAATAATCTAACCTGACAGCGTGAGCATTCAGAAATCAACCATATTGCATCCTACCGGCGGTGTGTCTAGGTTACGCTTTCGACAAACGATTTCCAACCTTACTTAGTTAACATCGGAGCCATGTTAACTTGTTGCAGTGTACTACCGTCTGGTGAAGCGTTTCATATATAAATTCACGATTTGGCAACAAGTTGCTTCGCCACTATATTGGTAAAGCTCATGTTTACGTTATTCCGGGTATTTGTTGACAGCTCCTCCGTCGTGGAGCCTGACGCCTTCAGATACAACGGCCCCTACCGCTGGGCGTGTGCTTCTTCACTGTGCGGCCGTTGGCTTCCCGCTGCCCAGGACAAGCTGGGCCCGTCAGAGTGGAACTCGAGAAGAGTTTGTTCCTATACAAGATACAGACAGGATCACTTTGCATAAAAATGGTAAACTATGGTCGAAAAATGTGTGCGTGTTGTTATAATGGCAGCCGTCAAAGTACCCCAGTTCAAACGATGTGCATATATAGAAACGCTTCTACAATATTATATGAGCGTATACTGTAATAACAACGATTCGTGTAAATGCGAGCACCTATCGGTATCAAACTAATGCTAAATAAGCTCAGGTTAGATAATTCGATACGCGTACAAATCATTGTGTACTACCTACCTGTACATCCTTTTTTTGCTTCATGTCTTCATGGAAAAATTACAGATAGAACTAATATATTTAATTGAGAACAGTTTTTACATGCTAGTAGACGAACCGGGTGGAATATGTAAACGTCGTTTCGCGACTGGCACAAACGTAAGCTAGCTTTTCCAGTTCAATTTCCCCCCGGCGATATATTTACGTTGACCTCTCTGATGGAAAAGCAATGTTCGCAATAGAGCTTGGCAGCTTTATACTACTTTACAACTGGCTATTTCAGGAACACTTATAATTAACAATGCAAAGGTTGAAGACGCTGGAATGTACCGGTGCGACGCAGAAAATACGCACGGCAAACTCCGCCAGGCGTTAACGCTCACGATAAGTGGTATGTACGAATAGCCAATTGAATCGTAGCTCCATATGGGTGTGATTATGTTCAAAACAGACGGTTTCTAATGGACTCTATAATGATCGTTAGATGTGTGTCGTTGCCTCATCTCAACGACGGTGAGCGACACCAAAAGACGCATCAATTCCTAAACGAACAAGACCTTGACCGAATTGAGAACAAAGCCCATGGCATAGTAGATGCGCGAAACGTTTCATCACCATCTAAGATCTAACTGTACATCTGTGCCTTGCGCCGATAATAACAGCTCCGCCGACAATAATTGAGCACGACGAAACTTCAACGATCAGACGCGGTCATAGCGTTAAAATGCGATGCGAAGCCACCGGCGACTCACCGATGACGCTCATCTGGACCAAGGATGAACGGCTCTACCAAAACACCTACGTTGAAGGGTAAGCAGTAGCCAGAGTTCGAGGCCGATGATTGTTAATCACCAAATCACTTATGGTTTTTTATTCTACTCAGAACAGTGTCGTCGGACCGCGCTGAACCATTTTCGAATCTAGTTTGCACGTTATTTTTTTGAGAGACAAATGTCACTGATTCCTAACTGTAACTGAACACAGATGGTCTGAAATGCTCTAACAGGAATTTGTCTGATCTCTATATTAATAATGCTATTATTTTAAACAATATTCAAGCCGTTTGTTGTAGTAACTGAAAGTGCTAGCTAAGCACTGAGCTAGCATCCGGCTGTTTTCAATTTTAATAGAACATTTACATCGTGCCTCGGAACAAACCATGCAAGTAACTCTACAAAGTAAGATAGAATACACCTTGTCCGTTTTCCACCTGAAGAGTTGTAGAGGTACCCTACACGACATTAGTATAAGCAGGTATGGGAAAAATAGTCGGACGGCTCAAGATCAGAGCCAGCGAACGACGTTATTGAACACAATAAACTGTCCTCGTTACCACGTGTTTACTTGCACGTATACGTGGGTCGAAATCAACAATAAGCAACTTTCGAGCAATCAATGGTGTGATCATAGCGCATAAAATCGAAATTGAATGACCCCGTTTACAAATTGGTCATAGCAACTGACTAATTTTCTCGAAGCATCCCCATGTTGCCATCGAAGATGGCTAGACCAATTTCTTTAGATATATATATATATATATATGCAGATATATTAGGAGCTTCATTGAAATATCAACCAATCAGTACCTGGAGAGCATACCTATTTAAAGCATTATCCTTGCCAGGGTCTTCAGTTCCACTGGATTCATTAGAGCAGAAACCATGTACAGTTTGAACGACCATAGATTTCTTAATTGAAAATCTGATATGTCTGAAATCCACTGCGATATTCTATAATTTTGCTATAGTTTAACACTCACATCAGCATTTCGAAACATATTCTATTTGCTGTAAATTAATCGTGGTCCCGTATTTTCAATTAATCACACCGTGACAAGAACGAACGATCCTGACTAGTTATTTTTTTCTCTGTATCTAGCTCGGATTTGCTTCTGTTTTGGCTGAAGAGAAAGAAAGAAGCGAATACTAGCGTAAAAGGGTTTCCATCATACTGTGCCGTAGCATTTGCCTTGGATCAATTGTCGTCCCCTCCTATGAGCTATAACGCAGATATGCTGCGAAATGCACGGGTCTCTATCCTTCCCATCGAGTGTTGTGCATGATAGACGCGAGCGATGTCCATGACGAGTTGTCTTTAAATTTAGATATAAGTGACAATCTGAATACTAAATTTTCCTACGAAATCTCAATAACTTATTCTGTTGTTAAAGCTTGAGTATTTTTGGGTCGAACCTTATTTGCCCGTTTCTACAGTTATGACATCATCCAGCGGGTGATGCCGGGTGGGGTTCGATCCGAGCTTCTAATCCACAACACGACCCCGGGTGATGCAGGAATATACACCTGTAAGGTGTCGAATCCGTTCGGCCAAGCCTTGGCACTTACCCGCCTGCAGGTCCTCGGTATGTAAGCGTTGATGGTGGTTGCATGTTCTTCTTGCTAGTACATGTATTTAGGTACTAGCACTTACTGCATGCTACCGTAACCAACGGATGCATTTGGAAGGCGACAGGGACGGATCTCCTAATAAACATTTTGGCATAATTTTCGGCGATTTTCAGAACCTCCATTTCCTCCATTGGCTATCCGAGTAACAAACATTGCAAGTAAACAGGTGCGGTTAAATTGGCAGCCGCCAATTTCGGTCGTGAATAACTACATCGTCAGATACTGGAAAGAGGGTAGTGGTAAGCTTTCTTATTATACCATACAACAACACTTCGTAAAATAATTGTGTAACATCCGCAATTGACTTCATGCGGAAGTGATGAGAAGTTAACATCGGATCTTGTTTAGTCATGAAGATATCCTGTAAACTAGTATATTTGGGCTAATGATATGTTATTGAAGTATTGCAGCATGTTTTTATGACGAGTGCAGATAGGGCAGCTAAACTCGCTTTGAATGGCACCATTTAGGTGTATCGAAGATAAGCCGTAAGCTCTCGGTGCTGTCAATAGTTGGATCGGAAACTTCTGCATTTTTGGCGGATTTGCACCCGGGCACAACTTATGGGGGTTATATGCTCTCGGAAAACGGAGTTGATACCTCCGGCGAGTCTGGCTTCTTCAGATTCACGACTTTGGAAGAACCCCCGAACGCATCACCTCTCGACGTCAAACTCCTTGGTGTTGGAGCCAGGTTCCTCAAAATTCAATGGAAGGTAAACTAACAGCCGCAGCGAAACGGGCGTCATAAAGATAAACCTCACTGATTAATTCCAGATTTGACAGGCATTTTTCTTGTATAATTATACATACAAAGCTATTGGTATTGAACGTTTCTAGCCCGAATTTACGAGCTCGGCTTTTAGTATATTTGTAAAACGAGGAATTCACCCGAGTAGGGAAACGCGTAAAAGAATAGTCTGATAAAGTGTTTATTGGTAAATCAATGGGGTGGAATTTTGCAAAATTTTAACTCAATGCACAAATATCATGCAAAAGCATTCTCACACGCTTAACCTCTTAACAAGTTGCTATCGGTCCGGGCTTTTCGATAAAAGTTAAAAACAGATACTTTCTTTTAATAGTGGAAATATTTATACAGATGGCTATAATTCATGCAGGTTTTTGAAGGGCAGTTTTTTCCCAACCATGGATTAATCCTTTTTTCTAATGTAGGCGGTTCCCGAAGACCATAGAAATGGGAAAATTACCGGCTACAATGTTGGCCATAAACAGTTTGATTCGGATGTCCCATTCACCTTCGAACAAGTGCAGGGTGAGCCCGGAGAGGCGATTATACGCGGTTTACAACCAAACACAAAATACGCCGTTGTCGTACACGGATTCAACTCGGCTGGTTCGGGACCACCCAGTCATCGATTAGTCATTACGACTCTGGATAAAGACCTTCCTGGTCCACCGAACTTCGCCGTCTCTCACGTTACCTCGAAATCGGTTTCGGTGCAAATTCGTGAGAAAGCAATTACAAGTCACGTGACTCGTAAGTTATCCAAATCTCGAATTGATCTTAATCTTGCATATGCGTGAACGCTTAAAGGCTTGATCAGGGTAAGTTGATTAGATCGTGACAGCAAAAGTCAAGCTTACATTTTCAGCTGTGATTTTTTCTGGTTACGAAAACCAACATCCCTTTTCTAATAGAACAAAATCAACAAAAAGAAACTGTGTATTTTAATCGCTACACACTAAGTAGACTGTGACGAGACTCTGACGCTCCCGTAGTTTTCCGATAGAAATGCGAAGCTTACAGTCGAGGATCGACAATCAAGTGAGATAAATTGACAAGTAGCGTTTATGAACTTCTTTCAACGCGTCCAGGTTTCATAATCCCCAAGGTTATTAGCAGGAAGTTATCAAGCACTTTCTGCTTCGTGCAATATTGTTTACGAAGTGCTTTGTAAACGTCATTGCACGAACATTATTATCTATTATTTGTAAAAGGACTTTTTTAGGAAAGATTATTGTCCTCGCATGAGGAACAGTTAGGCCAGTTTTTTTCTAGTTGGCACACACTATATCTAGACCACTTTATCTTTTGTATGCATACAATAATGGCATACAAATATACCCAAACGTATTGAAGAAAATATCCGTCTATGCCAATAGCAAACATTTGCAGTGTTGGCATGATGGCAAATGTTGGGGGGGGGGGGGGGGGGGTAAGAAAATAAGGAGGGCTGATGATCTGCGGGAAATATATTAATAGAGTTTTCATTTCCTCTAACAGACAAATGTTTGTTTTACGGATAAGGTGATCTTTTCCACAGATCAAATCTTCTACTCTATTATTCTCTTTATACTGGGTCCGGTTGGTTTAATCCTCATATCCGACCAGCTTCACGATCATCACCACGTTCACCTTTTGACTGTGAAGCTGCTAGGTCCTCATGCGGCGCTGGCTTCGTTTATGCGCGGTAGCCAGTCTTTGTTTAGCTTTCCAGGGCAAACGCTGCCACAGCTCGATTTCTGGCGGTTATAAAGATTAAGCACACATAGTCATGATGAAACGATTCTCGCTATCCGGCAGGAGCTAACGAACAGCTATAAGAAGATCCGCTTCCTTTTCTCATATATAAAGGTGATCGCCTGTCTCAAAATGACGCAATCAAATGTCATGGAAGGAATTTCTTGTGGTTTCTTCATAGCAGGAGCAATTTGGCCAGATTACACAAGAAACAATTGATATTGATCATCTACTCATTTCTTCAGTTACGTGTGATCAAGGCCAGATAAAGACATAATAGGATGGTTAAAAATACATTATCTTCTTTTTGTCATCTGATTTAAGATTACGAGTAAAGTTCTGATGCATACATGTTGAATATAGAATACGACCAAAATTGAATGGATTTAGAATCGGGGAGAAATCATTGGTTGCATATTGTTCGACTCTACGATACACAATAATAAAGCGAGAGAAAAACTGTCTAGAAAAAAACTTACATAAGTTAGAAGGGAAAAAGGTCAAATGTAAATCTAACCGTGTGCCAAAAATGTGCCCACGTACATTTAGATCGTTCAGCAAAAAAGGCATCTCCTGTCCGTGACGAACAGTAATAAAGACCAGTTAAAAGAAGGACTACCGCGTAGAATGAACCGAAATCACTTGTCGATGTGTGCAATAAAAATGCTTGAAATAGAAATGCCATATATACATACAATCGTATGTATTTACCTAAAAATTACTGCCGGTACCGTAGAACATGGGTTTGCCAGATGATCTGGGTTTTTTTTTTCTGCTAAATGTTTATTGTTCGAAATGTCAGGTCCACAGTCACTTTAGTATTGCGTCAGACATACGCATATAAATGTTTACGGATGGCGTAAACATTCGTCCGCAGATGCATATAATTACCTCTGTTACTGCTGCGCGACGTAAAATGATTATCGTTTAAATTCGTAATTACTAGAAGTGATAAGTAATCATCAACGTTAGCGTTGATACCCTTCACACCTAGATACTGCAGTCACGCCTTCTTGCGACCCTAAACGGCTTACCTAGCCGAAACTTTTTATACAAATTGGCCCATAGTTATTATGATACGTTACCTTATCAAAGGTTCTCTGTTGCTGTAGCGAGTATTTCGATGTTGTATCAAAATAAAGTTACCCTTCTTTCGTCGCCCACATTAAAGATGCTAGATGTGTGTGATGCGCTTCTTTAATCGCCCAAACCCAGAGACGTGATTGCGCAAACGTATATCGTAACAGCGTGATTTAGAATTGCATTACATTTTAATGGAAGCTTGATAAAAGCTCACCTTTATACATGCAACACGTTAGCTAACGTTGATGTTATGTTTCTTTTTTCGTTCTGCTAAGAATTTGTGTTATCGTATCGGGAGACCGGTATCGACCCATGGAAAAGCGTATTTTTCCCACCACATACCCACACACTGAACGTGGAAGGACTCCGTCCAGAGACCAACTACGAAATCACGATCGCTTCTTACAGCGTCCACGGACGGGGTGAAAGCTCAAAACCGATGGCATTTAAGACCACAGCAAACGGTATAATTTTGTCACTGTAATCGAATATATTATGTCTTAATAACCATATAAAAATCGGCATACTAGGAGATATGCTCATCGGAGGATGGATGAAAATTCTAGCGTAATAAACACTCTTGTTGAAAATCTCAAAAATTACGCACTTGAAATGTAATGTTGGAAAAGTAGCGTTTCCTTTTTAGTAAAAAGACCTATGTTTATATTTTTCCATTAATGGTATATATGTATTTCTATTCACTATTAAATTATGCGTATTTGACGTGCTGTAATTGTGTCGCGGTTAACACAGATGAGGCATCAAAGACGATCCTTGCCGCCCATAGCGGGCTCCTGACAGCGGAAAACGTCGAAATCGTCCTGAGTGAGCCTCGCCTATTTCTTCCATTGCTGTTCTGCCTGACCCTTGTTGTTTCATCAATCGTCACGGCTTACGCATGCTATAAGCGCGTTGTAGCCAAGTACAGTGCGTGTCACATACGGACGTTAATTTGACCGATATTTACAATTAAGTTTAGGAAAATACGCTATACGCTCAATGAACATCTTGCATGTATACTGGACAAAAGTGTACATAAACCGTGCTATCTCATATATTGACATATATCGTGCGAAAGCGAACTTCCGCTTCGGGTGACCCGTCGTAATTATGGCACACTTTATAATAATATACCTTCACTTTATTGTGTGAGGAAGCCCACTGAAACGTCCGGCCATTTGATTGTCTAGCACTTGTGAAGACCTAGTGTAAACGACGCGTTCTATTTTTTGCTCTGCCAATATGATCTAGCGATTGTGTCTGATCCTTTGGCTGGCAAAACATGTTCTACAATAGCTATCCTGGACCATCGTTGTCTCCTCGAACCAATTTTTTGATAGTTCATGCTAACGATGAAGCCTCTGACTGAAAGTTCGCTCGAAATGTGGCCATTACAGATCGATGTCTATTTAGGATAAGCTGGAGATACGTTTTCTTCTCCATTGTACAGTGATAAAATAATAAAAATGATTTCATATACTGTTACATGCATACTATGCAATGTTAAAAGAAAATACATACGAACCCCAGTCCTATTTTCCTCTCGGATTCGAATATGACGTACGTTAACAGGAACACTGTAGACCTTTTTTTTTTGCCAATGCGATATCAGCCGAAGGCGGATGCGACTCTGATTCAAACCCGCGAAATCTCTACATTGATTCGTATGATTGGCTGCTTCTAACCTACATAGCAGTTTCGTATAACGGTCTTTCGTGAGACTCTAATGAAACAGTCGAATTACACCGTCGAAGTAATATGTCTGGCTCCTACGAATCGAATCGAATACTGACTGCCTAGTAAATACATCTCAAGGTGCTTCAAGTTCTCAAATAGATGATTAATTAACTTAATTTTCCCTGCTGCTCCTGATGAAAAAATTGGGATGTAGCTGTCGCGAACTAGATTATAAAATGGCGGGTTGTATGGTTGGTTATGCCTCGTTCAGTACAACGGCATATCTTGCGCTGGCAATAAATATAATACCGTAGCTTTTTTTCAGCTTTGGTTATGGCTCTTTACGCTTGCATATCTCGCTATGCTTACATATATCTTGTGTTTAAAGGTATTTGTTGCGTGTACGCTCATGTGTTTTTGTTGAATGTTCGTGCCTGTCTGTGTCCTACGCGTTGTTAATTTCAGCGGTGTTCAATAGTCCTACAGGAGGAGCGCCGGTACTTCAATACCAGACAGTTCAGGGCCCCTACGGAGTACTCGAACGAGAGTACTGCGTTCTCCAACAAAAGCTCTATGGCGCTGCTGGTGGAGGCTATTACGGAATGGGGAAAAATGGAGAAATGATGTACGATATGCCGTACGATGCCGTCATCAGCACATCGTTGCCCGTCCATAATGCTGCAGCTGCTCAGCAAATACCTGAATCCACTTCGGCTGATACCGTTGCAGCTCTGGCAGTACGTAACACGACGCGTTTACTGAGCCAACACAAAATCAACTGAGGAAATCCGAGCCCGCTTTTATGGAGCAGTTTACCTTTCCTTAAACCTACACATAGCTATTGAGTTAATTAGTAACTCATCAGTTAACTATTTAACTAACTAGTCAATAATTAGCTAATGAGTCCTGAGAATGTTTGCACTAACAGCTTCATAACGGCAATGGCTGACTTCAAACCGACTGCCATATGCCGGTTGAGGAAATCGGCCAAATGGCGAATTTTCTCATTGGATCTTTCAAGTCTTACGTCCGATACCGCCGTTGGCTCCCAGCACGGAACAAAGTGTGTGTATACTCGGATTCGAACGTAGACCACAATATGTGTTTCAAAGACTAGCGTGCAAATACGCTACCCACCGAGCAATCACGAGAAGACGCGGTAGCTTACGCCATTGATATATGGCTTTAGGTCAGAAAAGGTTTCATTTGCTTCTATTGCGTGTGTCTGTCAATTGTTATGCACGTCGCTCTCGTGTGCAAAACGGAAGAAACATGTGTATTTTTCGTAATTTATTTTTGAAATAGAAGCATCCCCTAAAAAGCCGTTGTTTACGTAGCATAACTTCAGTAATTCTAGTTATGATCTAGCTTACTCACGCAATTGGGCCGACACAAGCTTATTCCTGCTTGCAAAGGGGTGCTGCAGTTCGAAATTCCATGTTGTCCCAAATATGGTGATGTTTCAAAAATATTGGGTATATCAAACGCCATCACATCGGCGGCGAAAACTTTTGTTTAGGAGACGTAAACAGTTCTATGGTTGACGGTGTATATCGCGCTCAGATTTACTGTTATCTTATTTATTCCGAAGTCGAAACAGCGAGTCTGAATCGGTGTCTAGCGCTTGTCCAGAGCAGGAAGTGTTTGTAAGTTTAGGCCAACAGCCTTACATGAAACAGGAAACAAACGAAAACAAAGCAATTGGATTCAACAGTGTTCCATTACAATCCATGTCAAGTAATTAGGTGAACGTTGCATCTGTCACGTGAGTTGTGTAACGTAGATTACGGTGTGAAAGTATGGATCAATTATACCTTTGTGTATCGGGTTGGAAAATAGGTTCCGGCACGCTATTTGTAAGCCAAAAAACCAGAGCAAGCAGAAGGAAGTACAATGCTTAGATTTAGGCCGGTTAAGGGTAGTCTGAACGTGATTGATCGAGGCTCGATTAATAGTTGACAATCAGTAAAAAAAAGCCGCTCTGCAGCTTTACGAATAGAATCGATTGCATGATTAGATGCTTTTTGAAAACTGCAGCTAAATATAGTAATCAATACTATCACATTATTTACAGCAGCCAAAGGACTGTTACACGATGCTGAAGGGAAAAGACAATCGACAATCGTACATTGTAGCGCCCGCCGTTCCCGAAAAGGACGAAGCTTTGCGAGCCACCCTTCGCGCCGAAAAGGCGATGAAGATCCGTAAAGAACTTCAGGAGGCTCGCGCGAACGGCACCATTATTCAAGCTGATATTCATTCATCCGATGACTATGTCAACGATGAGGTTCGTAGACTGCTCTTACCGTTTATTCTGCGTATCAATCCACTATCGAGTCTGTAACCCTAATTTACTGGTGGTCGTATTGAAAGTTAATCGTAACCAACCTCGGTTATTACAGGTAATTAAACATACGTCTCGATTGGGCATCAAATGGTCTATCTGGTTGCTAAATTACCTTCAGGCAGTTTACTATTGAGTACAATAGAGAAGTAATTTTCTTTTAGAGTCGATACGAAATTTGAGCGAAACATGCCAATATGATTTAAGAGCCCATATACACGAGGCTGTACGAAGCCGCAGAAATTCTTCGAATTGAAAAAACCTGTAGCATTTTCTGATTTGGAACTGACACCATGTTCTGGCAAAGATAGCCACAATTTTCTTGTGCTAGAGTAATGTTTCGAACTTTCTCGTATATTTTTTTATATATTCGTGTGTATTTTTTTTTTTATTACACACGCGATAAGTGTATCAAGTACAACTGATTTCTCTTTAACTGGTTGATAGCATTCATATTACTCGAACGTAGTTAGCTTTCACCGCTAAGCTCGATGCAGTCTTTTGCTGTGAAGTACACGCTGTGGGGATGGCGTATCGAGTCCTTCACGCATTTGGTGACTTCGTCTCCGACGACGATAATAACAGCAGACAAGCGCATAGCTATCAAAATAAACCTTCAATGAGTGCCCGGTCGTAGACTAAAGCCGGCAGCCAACTACTCGGCAATAGAGAATGACGCTATAAACGTTTTAGGCCTAAATCGTATTTTGTTATTCGTGGTTGTGTTTTTACGAATCAGAATGAAACCAGCAACATCTTCTCATATGGACCTAATCGTTGGCATCGTTCGTCGTTCCTAACCCTCTATACAGTTAATAACAGTATGCAATTGTTTACGTTACGTTGTTACTTATGATTTAAGTGGCTCACACAGAAGTCAACCCTTTATCGTCGTTATTTCTTGTATTGGTCAGTTGTTAATGTACTCTACAAACGACAGGTCACGAAGAATTCTAGCGAGGAGCTTATCCATCGCCAAATTTTCACTCACACATACATATTTCTATCGAAGAAAACCAAATGTTGTGTTCTTTGCTCAATAGTACCCTATGAATCAATGAGCCGTAGCTACACGACCCGTTTCGTGTGTCAATGGGTATAAATTTAACCAAACTCCAGAATTTTATCATATCTTGACCGTTACTTTCCCCATTTATATGAAGACTGTCCGTTCTGTTAGAATGTGCCTTCAATAAGAGCGTATTTTGGTATGGCAAATGACAATAGTGAAACTGCAGGTGCAGGACCAACTCAATTGTTGTCAATAAAGGTTTATTGTTTTTGCTTTTTATAACTTTATACACTGTGATTTTTTCTATCTACGCTTAACGCTATCGACTCATCTCTTGATCTAGCCAATACAGCATCCGAAAACTAATATATTGACGGTCTGTAGATGAGCAGATGGTAATCACAGCAGTATTGCGGGAAAATGAGGGTTCGTAGTAACTCCATAACGCAACGGAGCTCGTCACTTGCAGAAGATATGAGGTGAAGCGAAACAAGAAGGAATTACGCAGTCTGTTGGATCATCTCAGGCGGTTCTGGAGCTTTAGATCGGGGTCATGTGCACAGAGTAATCGGGAGAAAAAGATAGTATCGGGCATCTCCGACCAGTTTTTGGGGTAACATATAGATAGAAATGGTTTTAGACAATCTTCTAAAATATTGAACGTATTTTAGACGATAGGTAATCAAGAATAAAACTGCTGTGTACGTCCCTGTATGGGTGCAAATGCGAGACAATAGAATCAATACCTATCCAACAGCAACACACATATAATGGTGGCTGGCGTTGGATAAACGACGTAAACGATCAGTGTTGGGCACCGACCACAAATTCTCTGTGACGGCAGAGTTTCTGCTAAAGCAGGGATCCAGCTGTGATATAAGTTATAGTATCTGCTTCCGATCTGTAAACTAGATGGGAGCTATTGAGTTCAATGTCAAGGAATTTTCACATGTTCAAGTTGATTCTGACGCGTCTTAACGTATATATGTCGATACGCCTTTACCTTTTACTTTAATAGCGAATTATTTCTTTTATGGCCCCATCTATCGTGTTAATATTATGCCAAATAAATTGTTATATAACTGATTTCGTTCGGCAGAGCGAGGCAAAGGATGGCACATTCATACAGCCCACGGAGAACTCAGATCCCGAAGACACAGATAACGACGGCGATGATATGGAGGAGCCCGAGAACCATACGGAGCCAACTGAGCTTGGAAACTCCTCTACCGGAGATTCCAATCCGGACGTTAAAGGTAATAGATGCAATAATTGTACTGCCACTACAACGATAGCATCGTTCATGTATACCTGTACCGTGTATACCATGTACACAGTCATTCGGCATCATCATCATCGCCTTCGTTGTCTAGATGACGCCATCAATTAAGCATACCGTCAAGGCGATTGCCTTATCTGCCACCGTTTCCGTCATCATCTTTGAACGATATATTATCACGGGCTTCAGTTGAAAATCGGTCGATACAGGATGGACCCCGAAAAATATGAAAATGCTTTAATGCATACTTTACCATTTATTCTAAACCTTCGCGTTGCAGCTGTCACACTAACAGCCATGATATGATGGCAGCGAAAATCGTTATCTAGCTTTTCTAATTGTCGCTACCATCAGGCCCTGACCTACTGCTAGCAAATACTAACACCAGCCCTTTAAACCCGTCACGTACCTTGACAGGAGACACGTCCGACCGAATGGATGCGACCGAACTTTTAATGAAGAGTCCATCAGATACTGCGGTGATTCCTATTGAGCCGGAACCTGCACCACCTGCTCTACCCGCGAAAATGAAGCATTTACTCCCATCTCCGACGGCACTAACACCAGTCCCTTTTTCGGTCACCATGCCAACCATCGAAACAGATATTGAAGGTCCGATATCTTCAACGACACCTATTCACATCGTTCCGGATCTTCCGTCACCCCCTGTTGATGACTACGATGTCAACTGGCCGGCACCCCCGCCTCCGGAGGGGCTCGAGTAACTAGTTAAGCTGCAGCGAATGTGATGCGTCGCATGCCTCATGGTGCGGGATCAAGGAGAACGTTTCGTTCCGAGAGATGCGCAAAGCGTGCGATAGCTACACTGTCATCTAGTCATTTTAGTTGATCGAGTCATCCTAAAAACATGGAATAATGGCGGTACTTTATGCAATAAGAAGACAGGGAAGTAAACAGGCGTACACACATGAATATAGTAAACAAAGGGGTATGAAGTCGGTTCTAAAATGCTGACTAATAGAAGTAGCCGAAATTGGCGATCTACTTCTTATGAAGGAACGTAAGCCTACTGAACCGTTTCGACCTGTCAGAACCTATGGAAACGGATCGAAAAGCGTGTAACAGTTGAAACAGTTGTGCCAGAACATCGTTGAACATTGAAAATCGCAATGGTAAGGATAGAGCTAAGAGAGTAGCCTGGATATATACGTGCGTTACGACAGCCTATGTACGCATGCTAAGAGGCATTCAACTTCAGAGTGACAAAGCTGTGGCTGTATGTGAACCCGTGCTTACGTCGGTTACTTTTTTTTTAGGTTAGGTTTGTGGGCTCCGCTAGTTGATTGGTGAGCGATTGTGTGACTGCAGACAATATCGGATGTTAATAGTGAAGTGACTGCGATATATAATCCTAATGTGGAAAGTACGCTGGGAAAACTGAAAGTATTTGTACATGAAAAAAAGTACTGCGACTGCGCAAATCGTCCCTATAGGTATATGAAGCACTTTTAATAGTGAATTATAAAAATATGCAAAGATGGTATTGAACAAGGAACATGCAGCTGCCAGGTGAGCCTTGCACGATGGTGTGCCGGTGGTGCCATTTCGAAAATTACCACTAACCGTACAAAGAAAGACGTGCAACGATTCCAATAATGAGCGACATGCAACATGTGCACTATAGACAATCTAGGAAGGCTTAAATTTGATCTAGGCGAGTAAACCACATTTTCTTACTGACACCCATAACAAATCTTCTATAGGCTCTAGCGAATATACGCGCGGATACGTCTGAACAGCTTGCCGCTCAAAGTGCAAGAAACGATAAAGTTCACGCCTTATTAGTAACGATGGTAAACAAGCTGACTTACTGAATGGGAACACGGACAATTATGGGACGATGTCAAATAATACTACACACTATAGCGATGATACCAGACTTTTTATCAGAACAACGTTCAGGTACTTCCTGATATCGCGGGTGCTACTATTAAAGGCGTTTAGTCGTACGGACACTAACGTTGACACTCAAGAACGCTCACGACGTATTGGAGTCGGGTGGGCTGAGAGAAAGCATGCCGGAACTAGCTCACGGGTGGGCTGAGACGATATATTTATAAACACAATTTACGGAAAGCGTAAAAGACAGCGTGAGTGTAGGTGACGCAGATGATTGAGTTTTCGAACAAATATTCATGTGCGATTTCGGTAATACGTAAAAAGTATATACTGCCAAGTGATTTAATGGCGATCAACAAAGCGGTACGAATGGAAGCCCCACCGGTGTACTTCATCTGGTAACATATCTAGTACATCTAATGGTTGTTATATAATATTTGCACTTTTTTTTTTTTCTATTATTGTATTTCCATTTCTGTGATTTGGGGATATGAAACAAACGCGAAGTAACATGATTCAAATAGAGGCTGAGCCGACACACAAGCATGATATTACCGTTGGCTATATACGGCAACACTATATACATAGCATTTGTATTATTTCTACGTTTTGTATAATACTGCTAACTGTGTAAATATATAAAAGACGAATAAACAGAAAAATCATTAGAGAAATTTATGTCTATTTGGAAATGATTCAGTTTAAAAATGGAAATGATATTTATTTAGTTAATTGTCGCTGCGTGAGGGTAAGAAATTCAACTCAAACCCATGAAAACCTTCTGGTGGTGTTATATGGGGCATGGCCATAAGGAACTGCAGTTTTAATTTCAACCAACTTACGAAATGTTCCAGTTGTTTTTCAAACAGGATCCAACAGCCTGATTTGTGTAAACGTTATGTAACTGTTAGTCCGTATATATACGTGTATCGGTCAACTCAACCATCACTGCGATTTACTGTCAGCGGCCCTAACTAACATTGTCACCGATATGACGCATTGTAGATGTTACTGAAAGCATGGGGCAGGTGCGCGTTCATTCCGTACATGCTACCTGTAACCGTACATGCGAAATCATCGTAAAAATCATGCACACCATTGCTCGAGAACGAACGATCAATATCTAAATAGAGTAAATTGTGCAATATTCTGAAACTAGGAAAATACTTTAACACAGAATCGTACGAGCCAGAATCCATATGACGTGTCTGTGGCCGGCTCAGTACAGATGACTAGGTACCTTTTTCTGTTTGTCTGACGCAGTGTTATGGCGCGTTAATCTCCCTTCCCAACTTCATGATACGAAACACAATTAATTCACTTCCAGACACAGTTAAATCATGACGCGATCTCAAGATATGAGCGTCAGAACTACTGACCGGGTATTTCTTTCTTCTTTTCTATCAAATTTTCGCTGAACTAGATTTCTTATCTAAGATATTCTGCTATCAAAGTCTAATTGCCTATATCTATCTTCCCTTGCCCCTTTTGGCTAAGTACGATACCGTACGGCTCTACTCTGGGCCGAACTTGGATCAATATACCTTCGCGTACCGAGTAAAGTCAAACCGAAGGAAAAAGAAGCAATTAATTTGCCATGCAGCGCTAGTTTTAAGTTGTCACCACAGTACAACACATTTATGGCAGTACCGGTTGAATAGTACGAGTAGCTGGCTTTCGTAGTTCTCTAGTTACTAGTCAATGACTACTATTACCACTGGAAGCTAAGTTATACTGACGGTTATAGCTAACTGGTGTTGCGCAGGTCCTAAACATTGTCAGCCAGAAACGGCAGAACTCCAACGTGTGACATCAATTCTACCAACAAACGTGTCTGTATATACGGAAGAGAGATGTCGAATATTTAGATATCGAAAAATCTTAGGGACAATACGATAATTATTAATATCTTATGAGAATTTCTCTATGAGAGGTACTCCAACAGCCCGCTATTTTGATCGTGAAGTCGTTTTAGCTGTCACTCGCAAACGCAGTCTTTGCAGAGCCATATTAGCTCTGAAGGCCTAACAATCCAAGGTGAAGCTGCTTCTACGATCTCAAAATCTAAAGTCCAAGAGTTTTTTTTACGACTTGAAATCACTTCGTTTGTCTATGAGCTACAACGAATATCTATCGTATGCATAAACATCGTTAGGGTTTTGATCTAAACGAGACAACGCATTTGAAGCCTTTGTTTGGATGTAGCTTAAAACTCGGTCCTGGCACACATAGTAGCTGATAATAGCTCGAAATCTTCGGACGGGACGAACCGACCTATCGAAGTTAAATTTTCCTTTCAGAAGCTCAATTGGGCCTCTCAGTAGCCCGACGATTCCTACAAGCCTCGCGAGAACTGTATTAGTTGAATTCTGCAAGGGGATGTGTCACATGTCATATGAGGAGCTCTATTTTGAATAAGGCCATTGATACAAATGAAAATAGAAGCATCCGAAGCAGTAACAAACACACGAATCGACCACGCATGCTTTGTTGATAATATAAGTTTCTAACTATATCGTGAAATGCAAACTGGATTCAATCGTTCCCCGTCTGGGACACAGGCTCGCAAGTTCCACGTTAATTATAACTATCAATATAAACAAAATTAGCTTAGGCTCAAGTTTTAACGGTGGTTTCAATAAAATCACTTCGACTAGTTGGAAATTTGTATATTGCTGACAATTGGAAAGTTTGACATAAGCCGCCCACAGCGTGCACTCACGTGTTTGCTAGTAAGTAAATTTCAGCGTTTAAAGTTGGATGGCCAAAGCAAAAAAAAGCTCAAATTTAAGAATAATAATAGTAATGAAGATTTGTTCTGAACTTAACATACAAGGCATGTTTTTGTAAGCACGTTTAAAAAGTAGTTGCACTTCTCAGGGGCATTTCACTCGTAGTTAGGTAGGATGCTTGTCATTTCCTCACGGTGAGCTCAATCCACGGCATCAGAACCAATGAGTTAAGCTTGCCCCCTTTGGGACTTGCAATCCGGCTACCCCTTATGTTATGCTAACGCAGTTCCGTGCGTAAAAATCGGTACTTCTGTTTCAAGTAATAGTTCCAGCTATAATTTCTACGCTTTAACCTGAACATACCGAAAATTCTAAACGACCAGTTTTGCTATCCAGGAAAGCGTTTCTTAGGGATGCTAACATTCCCTTGGCTATGATAATGGATAATATAGCTTTGGTAGGAACAGACGCACCAAGCCAGTAATATTGTTTAAGGCTGTTTATTAGGCAACCCTGCTCTGATCTCCAGACTATGCTTGTTCTATAGCTTATTCGTGATGATGATCCGACTACGCAGATCTAGTGACCGTATGGACGATATCTAAAAAAAACCCACATACATATTTCTGCCGTGTACTTGACGGGTTCAAACCCAAATTTTCGATTCTATTGAGGTCACGAGATTTAACTGTGTCATCCGCGTCATTAGCTTTGCGGGTTGCTGTGCTTCCAGCTAGCCGAGAAGAAGTTTCACACGTCGAGGTATTTTCCTCTGACCGATAAAAATAAGTAAAAACGAATAGTCGATTGTAATTTCCCACGGCAACAGCTGCTAATTGGGTTATCTGGTAATAATGCTTGACAAGTTGAGGTCTATTTCGTTGTCGACGATGTTATTTCCGGTTTTCCTCGAATTAATTGGTAGCCCCGTCATTGTCTGAACATGTTTTTTTTTTCTGTTGTATTCTCGTTCTCTTCGGCAAAGATCAACGCAGATAAGATCCACAACGCATGCAATTCGCGGTCTATAACAGTGGGCTGATATTCTGGGGCGGCCAATGAAACCCTACCGCGGTTTGCTGTTTCACGCCGCTACTGAGAGCGGTTCGAAATGGAGAATTTACATGTGAGGGTAATCCATATTCGAAGAGGTGTCTTATGGTGCCTTCCGTGCAGGTGGCGATGGTGATACAACTCTAGCTAGCTGACATCAATGCAGACGTTAAGACAATACGTTCCATCAGATTCTCTCCGCTTTTAACCCTCCTCTCTCTGCACTAAATCGCGTTGAAGTAGCGTAACGTATCGTAGATACAATTGCTTTAAGGTATTTGTATATAGCCATGGGTACCTGACAACCTAACAAAACAGATCGCTTATTAAAGAGAAATCAGTCCTCTAAAACGACTAGTTCATTGGCGCTTAGCGGAGGCTTTGAATGTCTCTTCTTAACAGTAACACCCAAAGTTCCGTAAAGATGAAATGCACCACTGAACAACTTTATTCCAGAAGAAGTTAGACTGCTCACTAGTGTTAAACCATTCCGTCTCTAACAGTGATATTCGACGGGATCAGAGTATGCTCCGTTCGCCGGAACGGAGTCGCTCGTGTTCTGCACAACTTTGGTACAGTGTAGACGACAACTTTTGACTCGGAACACTGAACGTGAACTAAGTTATACGGAAGTTTGTTTGCAATCTTTCCGATTTGATAAAATTATCTTTTGTTTTTTTTTTTGCTATATCCAACGTGACCTTGTGGAATCACTCATTTGCTTAATTAGTTTAACATAAAAGAACTCCGACTAGGTCCGACATGACGAGGATTTGTTATTGCCTGTGTGCGGTTGTTATTTTGTGCTGTTTATCACAGACGTTCTGCTTTCAACAACTAATTACGCTAAAAGACCAACCCATTCTGACAGAGTTGGCTGAAGATGTTGGACCGGTGTTCACAAATTTCATAAATCGATACCGTAAGCAAGGGATTAGGTTTAGTCAGAATTTTATTTACGACGAAAAGTTGGAACCTGAGTGCCTGAAGAGCTATATTCGGATCTTTCAAGGCATTGCTGACCTAAAACCTTGGGCAATAAGATGTAAGTACTACGATAAGAAATCCTAATTTTAGGTAACAGTAAAAATTAGATTTTTGCGGCGGCTTATTATTCTTTTACAAAGCGTTATAGCTGTGAGCGGATCATGTCCCGCTGCCATAGACAGTGACCAAAACTCTTTCGCAGACCGTTGCTAGGTGCAACGCTTCGTATTAGTTTGATTTCGGCCATCAGACGCAGATTAGGCGCATTACCAAATGGATGTCTCCCAGAGTTTGTCCATGGTCGGATTCGAACTACGCCACCATGAGTTCCTAATATTGGCACAGATATACGCTCCCCACTAGGCTATCACGGAGACAACCGTCTCTCGTTCTAACTAATATATTAACTTCACTCAATAATTTCGTAGCATCAGACGTAGCAGAATCGATTAGTGGTGTTCAATTCAGTCAATGGAATATAGACAGGAAACGCGCTTCGATAACGTCACGTATTCACGTGACGCTTAAAGCAATATATGCCGTTGCTAACTAGAGGCCGTCTATAGAAATCTTAGCAAAACCTCCGATAGTACCTAAGCAGAAATTCCTTTCATACCGAGCCTAAAGAGGTGATCAATTTTTCAGGTACCATCTAGCCTGGTTCAGGGAATAAGATAGCTGCAGCGGATATTTCCGTAAAGCCGATCAGTTAGTTATATGTCGATTTAGGATAGTATCATAATCCAATCTGACATAAGTCGTGTTTTCGAATCCTCACGTTCGTAACAAGTACAACAATATCGGAGTGAAGGATAGAGCATGCATCATTATGAGGCTTATCAGGCGCACTTTCTAGTATCCATAGTAACGTCGAAAAATTTCAGAGCAGGAAGTTGTGACACGCTGAGAATCTGCTAAGGACTGATAATTTAGTATCTGTAAGTTCATATTTATGGAAACGTAGTTTGCGATTCGACAACGACTCACCAATGGTTTATGTACTCCTTTTTTTTTGTTATCCCCGTTAAGACATTTAACTTAAACAACTTTTCATACGGCTCACTTAGTGCCTGGCTGGGGTTGTTTGACTGAGCTCACATAATTCAAAATCATTCTAATATTTGATTAAAATTATTTGTCGATTTGATCTGCTACGCATCATTATGTTTAAATAAAAGCAAATAACTAACCCTAAATAGAAATAGTTTTTTATTTGCAAGAAATACTAAGACGTCACAAAAAAATTCCATACTTTTTTCTACAATTTATAGAAAATACATTAGCTTTTATGCTAGTTATCCCTATCTTGTATTTTTATATGTCTGAGATTATATATAGCAATAACAATACTGCGTATGGTGAACGCATATGACACAAACAATTTTCTTTCGAGGTCCCACAGCTCTGAAGGAAACTCAATTGCTTGACTGATCTATTACGCTGACTAGAGGAAAAGATAGAATGGTTGGGATAGGTAGAATGGGACAGAAGGTTCCAATCCGGAACCTAATGCCACATGGATATTAATCCTATTAACTTCTTTGGAAGGAATAGAGGTATACTCAAAAGAAATTATACGTAGTAAATATAAATACATTTGCGAATGAATGTTGAGTCTGACACTTTGGACCTATTCATTCGCTGACGTTTTTTACATTCGTTTTAAAAAACTCAAGGTCTAAACATTAAATAGGAAAAAAACAAGAGTTTTGTTTGACGCTTCTTTCAAGGATGGGTCATGAAGTTGGGAATGAGAAATTCCGCCCAGGCCATATTTTTTATTTATTATGTCACTCCCCACAGTTCTATGCTGGAACGAGGATGTGTACTTAGAATTGTTACACAGAGTTGCCACGATATAGACGAGCCGCGCAATTCAAAATCTAGATTGGTCTACGTCAGCCGTTTAGATGTAATAGTAGGGAAAAGTTGGAGAAACCTGCTTACTTTTCCATCGTCCAAAAAGCACAAGCGTTTTCGCACAATCTCAATCGTAACCTGTGCTCATTTGTTTTACGAATGCCTGTCGATGGAGACGCATCAGCTCATGTACCAAATATATCTGATGGTGCAGCTACGATATGAGCGCTGTTCTATTATTTCAAAAAAAAAAAAGGTCTCCGCATCGCGAATAAATTATGTTTTTTTTCACGGTTCTACCTGGTGGCCCTCAGCAATGCTGGCCTTTGGTCCGATATCAGTAGAGGAATCAACTAGCCAGAGTGCACACAGCATAAAAAGTGGGCTTATTGGTTTTTATTAGGTAAGCAATGACTTCGTGACTTTGCCAGTTGATTGACCATATATGATAGACTAAGTATTTTTCAGTAGACTAGTCCAAGCCTAGTACAATTGGTTTTTTCTTTTAGGATTATCAGTCGGATCGCGCGAGTCCACGCCAACATCGAGTTGGTCAATGTGTGTCTTCCTTGTTTATAAGAGCTAAAACTTCTCTGAGGCAATACCCTCGTGATGTCTCCATCAGTAGATACACGCTTCTAATATATTACAATAGGATACTGATCACTCAAAGCTTGAATATCACTAAGTCACACGGCTGAGTGTTAAATACAAAAGCTTATTGTTGTTGCCAGCCCGTCATTACGGCGTTCATAGTACTCCGAGTTAATTTACAGTAGTGCTTCAAAAGGCGGACAATCTATTATGAATGTTATTATATAGTTCAGTAGAAATAAATTTATGTATCTTGGATTTTCATATTATTAAGAATTTTTGTTAGTTTTACTCTTTGAAATAGGCTTTCCTTTTATTTAATATCCGACACTAGAATTTAAAGCATCACCTGCGACTCATCAATAGTTTGGGGCGGATATTTGATAAATGTTTCCACCATTATAGCTTAAACAGCTTTAGAAGTCTGGCGCACTGCAAGCTGCAGAAGCCAGAGATAACCACTGTACTTCAATTGGCCTTCACCTATCTAACCCAAGTGTCCTACTCACTAATATAACGCTGTCCGTTAGGCTCTTGAGCAAAATCACATCCATGGTCCAGTGTGAACACCGTTTAAACCAACTCACTTATTAACATGAAATCCATGAGCTTAAACTTCATTATGTCACGAAACTTGAACCGGAAGTAACGGTTTTATAAGGAAATATGTGGAGCGGGTATGGAGCAGTTGTTTTTTGCCCAGATGGCTAATCTCCAATTCAGTTTCACCGCATTCATTTATCTTACAGTTTTCGACGCAGCTGGCTTTTTCACTTCAAACATATTTGAAGGACGTATGATTGCACATGGCAGCTATGATGAGTGCCTTGCGATTCGAGTGCCCAACAAGGAAGACCCGAGCAAGGTAGGTGGCTTGAGGCACTGGTTAAGTGTCTGCAAACACAAGTACTACGTACGCTGAGTGCTTTCAATTCGAATAGAAAAATAGATATGTATGCTCTCACTAATAGAGAGTCAGTCACTGTTCCGTTGGCTAATCAGAACCACCCGAAACTCATTCAGAAGACAACGTCGTTGGTTAAATTCAGAAATTAGACTTTTAAATAAATATGTTCAATAGAAATGGCTAGTCCGGATGGTGTTGAACGGTTTCTTTTAATCTTTTCCATGTACAAGTGTCGATAGAAATACACAAAACGCAGAATATAGAGAAGTGGTAGAAAAAAAATGTGTATCACTTATTGAAGCTCTTCATTCTTTCTGGCAAAGACGTAATTACGCGAGTATTTTATATTCGTAACTCAAATAGTTTTGAGAATAAGCCAAATCACTCTTGCGGCCCTAAGGGAGCCAACGACCAATTCGGTCCATGCACTGCCACTTGGTAGGCTTAGCCCTTTCATTGAAACATCTCTGTCTGTTGCGTGTATTATATTCAATGCCACTTATTATAACCGTGCTTTAGATAGCAGGGCACAGTGGATAGCGAAGTTTACATGCAAGGCTTGCTTGGCCCCCATAGCTTAATCTTGGTACGAGCTAAACAGTTCAAGTCCGTATAACTTCGACATAACTCAGCTTATTATCTTGTGTTTAAAAAAAATCTATGAATGAAATATGTCTGATATTACCAGAAAAAAAGCTACGAAACTTTACGAGGAAACCAAGTTATTACAATAGTCAAAGACTGCCAAATGTATCTTTTTTAAAAAGGCAGTCATAAACACAGTTGTGTTTTAGAAATAACTTTGAGCAAGTGAATGTTTACCTGAGGTAACGTCACTAGGCGTTCTCTCCAGTACCAAATCAACTGTGTGTCTTCTAGGTCGCCTTAAGCTCGGCAGGCCAACGCTATGCCATCACAGGAATAGTAGGAACGGGCCGATTATAATAATAACATAGTCATTGCAGATAGCAGGAGAGAGATACTTTGAAGGCCCTCGCTCATAGCCTAAATAAGTAAAAGCTTAAAAGATTGACTTGGGTTGGCTTTCCGCCTAACGAAAACGACCAGAACGGCAAAAAACTGGTAACGTTGTCCTAAACGTTCTGCGAAGTTCGTTCTATAAATATCTATGTCAGTATTGCGTTGCGTTTGGTGGCTGACAGTGCTATACAAAAAGATAGTTTCTACGCAAAAAAATGGCGATTGGGTATAAAGCAGGGGCACTTTTGCACCAGTATCGAGGGCATAAGCAGGCTGAATAATCATTCATATTCATTCACTATTATTCAGATATTATTCAGTATTACATCAAGAAAGATGCTGCAAAGATCGTGCGTACAAAAACGTATGTGTACCTAGTTTCGAATCTTGAAACGCAATGGAAGACGCAGAAGCACGAGCAAACGATGACAAGATCAACACAATGTGTATAACTTATTTTTAATAATAAAATAATTATTAATTACGTTATTTACTACGCTGTAAACTAGAAGCATAGAGAAGTATGGTTGTTGAACTGGTAGACCAAAATTGGGTTCGAGGCTTTTTTATACCATTTTGCTGGACAAGCTAATCCATATGTGTGTTGTATAAACAATAATGTTATTTTTACTGACCGAGAATACATTGGTTTAAAGAGCCCGATGATTCTGCGTTTTGGTTAATTTGCTGGATTTAGCTAAATGTATAAAATAGAACGTATGCCAAAAAAAAGATATGTATGTATATATATATATATATATATATATATATATA